TATTTTGATTACTCATCCACATACTTAAATTTTAAAAGTCTATAATTTTCCATGAGTTGATCTTTGGCTTTATTTGGTTTTTAAGAGCTTTTTCTGCAGGAGACATAAATTGCCGTTAAGAAAACATGGATTAAATCTCAGAAATGTTTCAACACATGTGGGCATGCAACAAAGTATGTGTGCAGCTCAATTAAGTATTATATAAATACTGAAAACTGTAATTATCTTTGTGTACTTATCAAACACAAGGTAAAAATTAATGAAAAAAAGATAGTCGTTTTTGTATGCGTTTAAAAAAGTAGGTGTTGTGTGAAGGGGTAAGAAATAAACAGAAGTGGGTGGATACTGAAATTACAACCAGAAAAATAAATGCAAATGTTTATTCAACATCTTTATTATGAAGTACCTTTTTAAAAGAAATGTACAAGTGGAACCAGCACAGTGACATCTTGGCGTTTACCTTTGAAAAACAGAAACACCATGGACAAACACCATGTGGTGCAGGTCTGAAGAAACATATGAAATGATAATGTACATATTTACAGCAGAGACTCTATCAGAACAGAAGTGAGCAAGCATGACTGAGGCTAAAAAAAAATAACAGGACTGACTGAAAATAAGAACTTACATTAAAAGCAAGGATTGGTTCAATAAACATTATTTCGAAAGATATCATGATAAAGGCACTGTGTTTCACACAAATCGACAACACAACAGACGCTGTTTTGTTTGTTTTGTCCGTCAAATTATAATCACAAGAAACAACTCTGAACAAATGTTGTCACTTCATTAACTGTCCCTGGGTGTTTGTTCTAACACAACAGATAAAATATGTCAGAGGGCCGTAGCAGTTTGCACATAAACATTAAAACAAAACAGATAATTCAACTCATGAGGAAAACATTCCTTATAAAGAACATGCTTGGTGATTATTAAAATTACATTTTTTTTAATAAACAAATACATAACCTAAATTTAAAATTTCATATTGAAGGCAAAATGTGTCGAAGTAAGGACAAAAATGTTTTACAATCCTATGTTTCCCTTACTGGGTAGAAACCCAGGACAAATTGTATTTGACATTCCTGCGAGACTTTCTGTAGGACCCCGATGTTTGATGAACACATTCAGTTAACTACCAGCATAGATAACACACAACAGTCCGGCCGAGAACTGGAGATCAATACTGAAGGACGACTCCGGCATGATAACATGGCAAAAGAAGGGATTTTGTTTTATATGAACAGGTAAAAGTTTAAAATAAAATCAGATTACATTCAGTTTACGTAGCTGGTGAAGTACGCACTCTGGTCAATGATATTCTGGGCCGGAGGCCCCACTGCTGATGGGAAGAATTACTTTTTCTAGAAATTTGCTTTTGTACTTTCTTAATGAGAGTAAAATAAGAAAATCCTACATTAATCTAATGTCTGTACATTAAATATGAGACTGCAGCAATAGCCAATTAGCTTAGCTTAGCATAAAGCCTGGAAACAGGGAAACACCAGGACCTACAAGCACCTTTAAAGCTCAATAATTATCATGTTATATCCAGTTTGCTTTAGGGTTGAATTTATATAAATAATTTAAAGAAAAGATGTCCAACACTCTCTAGCTACAGTTTCTGAATTATAAGATGTTACTACTTATTTTCTCTTAAGTGATATAAAATTAAATATCTTTACATTTTGATCTGTTGGTCAAACAGGCTTTAGGGAAGTGTGACATTATATAGACCAATTGATTAATCAAGAAAATATAAATACAAATAAATCAATAATCAATAGCTGAAGCCCTAGTTTGTTGAACACATACAAAAGCTATTCAACTCCACGCAGTAGGCTTCATAGCTGCAATACAGACGTCAACGCAGAATCAATTTTCTCACCTAACTCTCAACACAAAAGCAAATCAGCACATTTCCCAAATTGTCTAATCTTTTAAGATAAGCTTCAGATTTTAACCTCAAAGTTAACCTGCAATAATTGACGTTTGGGAATTTGCAAAGAGGGAGAAGTGATTGAAAAAAAAATCATAATTTGAAACTCCTACACTTGGACTGCACAGACACACGCATGTAGGCATACAGGGACGTACGATATGCTCTTTGGCTAAGGTCAGACATACACGACCCACACGGGCTTTCCACACTCACCCACACGCTTGAGAAGAAGAGTTCTAGATAGTAATGGCACTGGCCAGGCAGGCAGGCACCTAGACTGAGTTACACACACAGGCTCTCCATATAGCAGAGAAGATACACGATACATGAGGGGACAGTGGGACCTGTTTCAAAATGACAGATAATGTGGTCAAAGTTGTCAACTTGCAGTGTGCAAGAGTTGATGGTTGTGGGGAAAAGATAAAAAAAGATCCTATGTTTGAAATCTTTCCTTCCGGAGAACAAAACTGCACACTCAAAGAGGTAAACTGTACGGAACTGAGGTGTGGTTGAGAGGAAAGAAAAAACAAAATGGCTGCCCTGAAATGACTAATGAACTAGCTTCAAAACATACACAATAATACAAAATTAAGTTGAGATATGACGAAATTAGGCTGCATTAGTAAGTAATAGTACCTGCCTTGTACATACACAATTCAAATAAAATGAAAACAAGTAGCTAGGATACTTGTCTTATCAAAAATATGTAGCTTTGGTAAACAAGTTATGTAGAGAACTGTTGTCTGAACATGTTGATGTGTGAGATCACTACATGACATCTAGGAATCAAGGGTGAGAAAGTTTCTCTGTGTTTGAGGCTATGAAAGTCAATGAGAGGAGACACAGGTGAAAAGTTCCGCTCCCCCAAAATCCTCTGTCCTCTCCCCTTGTCACCAGCTGACGAGGAACAGAGACAGCAAAAGGCAGCGCGACTCCAGAGAGGAACAAAACTGCTTTCTTGACTGTCCCGAGCACCGATTGAAGAGTTTCCATGGTAATGTAGCAGCATCGTAATGGTCTGCGGAGGACAGACTCCTCCAGAGCAAAAAGGTGGAAGACTACTTCAGCCTCTCTCCTTCCAGCAGTCCCCGCATCCTTTTCCATCCATCGCAGTGGAAGACTGGTCAGACATCAGATTTTAACAGCCCTCCTCCAAATATCCACAGTGGAGACATGACAGGTGAAATAATTTACGTTCCTTTCCTCCGCTCCTGTTTCACCTGGCCACGCTTCTTTGCTCGATGTGGGTTTGATCCAGGCGCTGTCGCAGATATGCAGATATTCCATAAAAATAACCACCTCCTTAATACTTGAGCTTCTACCATGCAGCGCAATCTCCCTCTTGTTCACACATTGCTCCGTCCATCATTCTACTTTCTTTCTTCCGTTTCCAGTTCCCACCCGCATGTTCTCGTCCAATCTCCTCTTTTCAAATGATTCTTTTTTTTCCGCAATTCTGCTTTGTCTTCCTGTTCCCAAATTTCAGTCGACCTTCTCCACCTTCCCGATGATCTTCTCCTCGAAGATCGGCAGGATGGCGTCATCGTCGCGGACTTCCTCAAACACCACACCACAGTCAAACTCGTCGCTCACTTTCTTAAAGTAGAACCTGCAGATAAAAGTTCATGCATGAGCAAACAATAAAAAAAAGCTTCCTGTAAATTAAATTCCTGCAGTTAATTATTAACTATTTTTATCAGTGTTTATATAAGGGCTGTAATGATTCTGAAACCACACATACACATCATTTTCACATGAGTGCATCAGATGTTCTCACCTGTAGTGGCCCTTTTTGGTAAGCAGCTCCTTGAACTGGCCTAAAGTCACCACACGGCCTTTGACTGATGTTCTGTATGGGATCGGCTCTCCACAAAAGTAGTAGGCGACCGTTATGTTCTCACACACTTGGCGCTTACCAGACTTATGCCTGAAAGAGAACAACATGTCAGTACACTCAAATAAGACCACATACACAAACAGACACACACACAGGCTAATGGCCACAGAAATGAAAATTGTTCTAACCTCTGCTTGGCCTGCTGTAGTGCAT